AGACATGAACACAGAGATCCTATCATAGGGCACAGAAGTGATTTGCCCAGTCAGAAGTACCATCTAGGTTTCTTGAATTCCATCTTGTACTTTTTACCCTTATATCTGACATATTTACAGGCATCTTTTCCATCTTTATTCATTTTATGCATTTGCATTTAACTTTATAGAACAGCAAAATCCAGTATGTACAGAAATAAACTCCTGAACACCATATAAACTTCAATTTTGGAGGAGTGGTCACTGAATGATATGTCTAGGGTTGTTCATTACTATATCTCTGGTGCCCGGCCTAGCTGGAATAGTGCCTGACACACTCAGATCTTTACCTTATGAGAATAATTCATTCTATAAAAAAAAAGGACATGTAAACATGGATCCAATTAAAATGGGGAGATAAATCAGTGAAAAGGTTTTGATTGGAACTTTATCTTGAATATGGAACCACAGATTATAAAAGTAAATTAATCTTAGATTTAATAAAATGTAGATTATAATGAAAATTCCATGCTAAATTTTAGAATGGACAATTTTTGACAAAACTATTTTATAGCCAATTAACTTCACTTTTTCATGTTTGACTTTTACAACAGGAATACAGACTTTTTTTTCAAAAAAACACTTTTTGAAACTGTGAAGGTTTCATCATTTTTTCCAAGGACATTTCTTTTTTTTTAATGTTTATTTTTTGGGCGGGGAGAGAGAAGGAGAGTGAGAGAGAGAGAGGTGGGGAGAAGGGCAGAGAGAGAGAGAGAGAGAGAGGGAGAAACAGAATCAGAATCAGAAGCAAGTTCCAGGCTCTGAGCTGTCAGCACAGAGCCTGACATGGGGCTTGAACTAACAGACTGTGAGATGATGACCTGAGCCAAAGTTGGACGCTTAACTGACTGAGCCACTCAGGCACCCTCCAAGGACCTTTCTTAATCTTGAATATAATTATTTAAATAAATTTCTCTTTTCAAGTATCTGTTATATCATTCCCCTTGTTGATTCTTTATTTGTTAGTTGGTCTTTAATTGGGCATAGCCCTTAACTGTCAGTGGCTTTGTATAATATTGTAATGGTTCTCCAACATTACTTTGATTTACTTGTAGAAATTCTGTATCTTATGTAAGAATTTTAATTTGGGGGGCACTTGGTGGCTCTGTCGGTTAAGCATCCGACTCCGGCTCAGGTCATCATCTCATGGTTCGGTTTGTGAGTATGCGCCCTGCGTTGGGCTGTGTGCTGACAGCTCAGAGCCTGGAGCCTGCTTCGGATTCTATGTCTCCCTCTCTCTCTGCCCCCGCCCCTCGTGCTCTGTCTCTCTCTCTCAAAAATAAACATTTAAAAAAAATTTAAAGAATTATCATTTTGATTTGCAGGTGATTTGTATTTGTATAAACTGAAATATTAAAAAATCATTGGGAGAGGATAGATGATTTTAAGAGGAAAGGCCCACTTCATATAGCCACATTGGTCATGCACTGCAGAACTTTAAGGGATGTCTGAAGAGAGAGAGGTGTGAGGAATGATTTAATTTTCTTTGTGGTTGGTTCTTAAGTGAGTGTTTTGATGTTATGATATGATATGATATGTTTTCCTACCTAAGCATATAACTACAGGGACTCAGATAATCAATAATGTGGTCATGAGAAACCCCTTCCCCATCACTCGTGGTTAATAAAAATTGTTGATTGAATGAGTGAATATACTGGATCTGCTTTTCCTGTATAATTTAATATTGCGTTCATCTCTCCAAGAAAATAACTAGAAATAAAACACGTGTGACAAATGTAGTATTAAAAAGCATATGAATAAAGAATTTTTAAGCGCTGACTCTATATGAGACATATCATAAGCCCTGCAGGGTATATGAGGATAACTTAACCATGATCAGTTATGAGGCTTATATCCAAGAGATAATAAATATTGATAGTTAAACCACAATGTTGATTTTCTGTAACGAATATACAAGCATTCAGATATTCAAAAGACTGTTGTCTCTCTTGATGTAGTTAATTTAGGAGCCTTATTTATTGATTCATTCACTGCACTCAAGAATTATTTATTGTAGACACGCTATGAGACGGGCATTTTCCAAGTATAGGGGATTTATTGAGGACAGAGTATGTAACAGGCATTTTCCGAGTACAGGAACAAGTTGGACAAGTAGTTCTCATGAAATTTACATCTGGTCAGAGGAGACAGACAACAAAACAACAGATTAATAAACAAGAAAAATAGCCGATAATAAGAATTCAGGTGCTGTGAGGTGAGAACATCATGTATCAGATGCCACTTTAGGTGGCAGATCAGTGAAGACCTGTCTGAGTGATCAGCCAGATGTAGGTGCCGGGAGAGCATTCCAGACTGGGGGCAGTTAGAGCTTGGTTGCTTGAGGAGCCCCAGAGAGGCCAGGTAGGGGATTAAAGGAGCTTGGCTTTTATTCTCTATTCACTGAGAAGCCAAGTAGGATAATTAAGATGTTAAGATATACTTTGTTCAAAGATTGCTCAGGCTGCTATGGGGAGAATGGATTTGAAAGGGGGCAAGTATAATATAGAAAGACCAGTTAGGTGCAGGTGATCATAGTCCATAGTGAGAGGTGGTGGAACTTGGACCAGGGTGTAATGCAGGAGATAGAAATGAACAGATTGGGATACAAGATTTGGGAGTCACATTGACAGGACGTGGCCTGGATGTGGGATTTGAAGGAAACAGAAATTTCGAGAAATTCCTAGATGTTGGTTTGAGTAACTAGGGAGGTGATGGTGTTCTTTATTAATATGAGGAAAACTGGCAGGGAGTGAGATTGGAGCAACACAACAGGTAAGGCATTAGGAATTCTGTTTTCACCCATTGTAAGTTGTCTGTTTAGATATCCACCTCGAGTTGTCAAGTCGGTATTTTGAATTAAAAAAAAAGTTGATCACCATTTTCCAATGAGAACATAAGAAATAAATTGTACTAAATTTTAAGTTGGTAGCTGAAATAATTCAAATGCCTATTTTTATATTGATTTAACAATTTAAGTTACCTGTGCATATTTTTAAATCACATGAAATATGTTAAATTAGACATAGTGCTTTTTTTTATCTACATTTTACAAAACAATTTTATTCAAAAGCTTCCTGTACATTTATGACAGCTTCACATGCATTTTTGACATCAGTTTCTTTGGCACAACTACTGCAATTCTGGGGGGTTATGTAAGTGTTTCTTCTTAAAGGGATCTTTGAAAGGCTTTTATAATAGTATCCAACACTTGAAATTCTGAGGTCATCCTAGTAATATCTGTGTTATTATTTCTCTTACCCATTGCATTCTAGACTGGCATATTTTACAATAATGTATATTTACCAAATAATACATTGTTGTTCAAAATAAAGTAATTAAGGCAATATCTGATAAATGGAAAACAACACAGATTCAGAAATAAGGCAACTTTTTCTTTTTCCCTCCGTATCCTTCTTTTTTCACTTAATAAATTGTGGAGATTATTCACAGCAGTACATATGACCATTTTTCAATGTCTGCCTAGTAATCCATTATATAAATGTACCATTATGTATTTAAACAGCCTTCCAGTGGTGATATAGGTAGCTTATTATCTTTGCTGTAACAAACAGTGCCATAGTGAATATGCTGGTACTTCTTTTGTGTAAAATCTCTGGAACAAAGGATAAATGCATTTTAAAATTTGTTAGATAGTGCCTATCTACCTTCCAAGGAGGTGGTGGTAACAATCTTTCGACTGCCAAGAAGAATGAAGGGTATATATCAACACTCTCCAAAATCGTGCATTGTCAAACTTTTTTTTTGTCCTGGCCTTTTAGTGAAAATAATACGTCATTGTAGAGTAGTGATTGCATTGTTTTTATTATGGAAAATTCTTTTAAATATCCTCAGAGGTAGTAAGTTTTTGTCTTTTGACAGGGAATTTGAGTTTGGGAAAAGAAAGTCTTATGCATAAGAGATATTAAGTTAGTTGTTACTTTAAGGTTTTGTTTGGTTTGGTTTTATTTTGTTGGTTTTTCTTCTATTTGTTAGTTTTGAGAAGAGGGCTTAGTGGAAAGCAAGATCTAACTTTTAGAGAAAATTAATATTTTTATTTATCTTATAAATTTTCTTAGAAGCTAAGTTTCAAAAGAAAAGCTCCAAAAATGTCTAAAGTAATGGCACTATCAATTGGTATAAGATTACGTTTTGCCAAGGGGAATCATTTGAATTGAACAATCATTTGGATGTATAGTGTGATCTGAAGTTTGTTTAAAAACAAATCACACACTGTGAAGCCTTTAGCTCAAATAGGTTTCTTTCACAGAAAGGTACATTAAAAACAAATAATTTAAATTTTCATGGGCAGGATTTTTAAAATTAGGTATTGCATACTTTTTAATTTTCTTCCTTTATACCAAAAGTAGATAGATAATCTAGAAGAGATCATTTTTACCATTGATGAACAAGCATTATTTGGATAATATTTACAGAAGTCTATAATTTTTCTACAAAGCAGGTCAAATTATTTATATTTTTCCCTTCTAAATCTAATCTGTATATAGCAATATGGATAAAATTATCTAAAATTAGACATATTAGCTAGCCAAATTTAGTTAAATATTTGTTTTAAATTTTAAAATGTTTCACTTCAGAACAAGTTATGTTTTAAACAGCGAACTGATTTTTGTACTTATGTTTTCCTCAGACTTTGTCAAATTTAGTGTCTTTTACTCTAACACAAACTGCTTTTGAGAGAAGCAGACTTGAAGCTTGATGCGTTATAAATCAGATATCTGAAAATCTATGTATATAGGCATCAGACTTTATTAAAATGTTCATTGTGCCAATTGTTCTCTACAGTTTTTCAAAATGAAACTGTCTTAAACCACCTTATTTTTATTTTCTGTGAAAAATTGAATTACTATCTGATCAGTTTGCTGTGAGAGAATTTTTAGCAGTTTTCAGGGATAGCACCTTTCTTTCTTAAATATTTAATATGTCTGCATTCTGTTCTGCAGAGAAATGGTCAATGCCTGGTTTGCTGAGAGAGTCCACACCATCCCTGTGTGCAAAGAAGGTATCAGAAGCCACACAGAATCTTGCTCTTGCCCCTCGCAGCAGAGTCCCCGTGCAGATAGCAGTGCACCTGGAACACCAACCAGGAAAATCTCTGCCTCCGAATTTGACCGGCCTCTTAGACCCATTGTTGTCAAGGATTCTGAGGGAACCGTGAGCTTCCTCTCTGACTCAGAAAAGAAGGAACAGATGCCTCTAACCCCCCCAAGGTTTGATAATGATGAAGGGGACCAGTGCTCAAGACTCTTGGAATTAGTGAAAGATATCTCTAGTCATTTGGATGTCACAGCCTTATGTCACAAAATTTTCTTGCATATTCATGGACTTATCTCTGCCGATCGCTATTCCCTGTTCCTTGTCTGTGAGGACAGCTCCAACGACAAGTTTCTTATCAGCCGCCTGTTTGATGTTGCAGAAGGTTCAACACTGGAAGAAGCTTCAAATAACTGTATCCGCTTAGAATGGAACAAAGGCATTGTGGGACATGTGGCAGCATTGGGTGAGCCCTTAAACATCAAAGATGCTTACGAGGTAAGTGGGGAATCATTGAGATGGGGTAGCAGGATGAGGAGAGGAACATGGATGGAACATTGGACAACTGCTGGGAATGGTAGGGATATTTCAAGCTGAGATGTAACAGGATTACTGAATGTAGTAATTTGCACACTTACTTAAAATTGGTACGTATGGTAAGAACTTTCCCATCTTTTTAAATTCCAGGGTTTCTTTACTTGTGGTTGAGTCAAGGATATGGGCCCTAGAGAAAGCTTGTCTTGTTTTCTTCTTGGTGATAATTTAACATAGCTCATCTCATAGTTGTATTCTCTTTTTGACTATAATTATCCTTATCTATTTTATCTCCCAAGGATTTTACTGACAATCTAAAATGCTAGGTCCAAAACCTGTCAAAAAATGAAACCAGTAGTCTTTTTTCATTCATTTGTTCATTCATTTATCTATTTATTCAAATTAATTATATTCATTCATTTGAAGTCCCGTTGACACCAAAATCTGATTTTCTTTCTTTCCATATTTTCTTTCATTTATTTTATTAAACAAATAAATTTATGTCTTCAAAAAAATAGAAATTGTTGCTCTAAAATAGTTCAGCAGAAAGATTTGGTATTTCTTCTACTTTGCTTCAATTATATACAGGTCTTTAATTATGGTCTTAAAGATTACACTATATGATTCTTCAAATTTTTCATTTAAAATTATCTTTTTTATTAATAGAAATATTTTTTTTAAAGATTTATTTATTTTTGAGAGAGAGAGCACAAGCAGGAAAGGGGCAGAGAGAGAAGGCAACAGACGATCTGAAGCAGGCTCCGCGCTGACAGCAGTGAGCCCGATGTGGGGCTTGAACTTACCAACCATGAGATTGTGACCTGAGCCAAAGTTGGACTCTCAATCAACTGAGCTACCCAGGTGCCCCAGAATTATGGTTTTTAAATAAAGCATCTTAGGGACACCCGGGTGGCTCAGTCGGTTAAGTGTCTGACTCTTGATCTTGGCTTAGGTCATAATCTCACAGTTTGTGAGATCCAGCCCCATGTGGGACTCTGTGCTGACAGTGCAGAGCCTGCTTAGGATTCTCTCTCCTTCTCTGCCCCTCCTCCAATTATGTGTGCGCACGCTCTCTCTCTCTCTCTCTCTCTTTCTCTCAAAATAAAGAAACGTAAATAAAAAATATAAATAAATAA